TATGTTTAAGCCTCATACATTGTGTAAGTATATGTTTTTAATAAAATAAAATAATTAATTTTAAAGTAAAAAATAATTAAAAATAATTTTAAAAATAAAATTTAAATATCTAGCTGAACTTGATTATTTGAGTTTTTTTTTAAAGAGTTGAATATATTTGTGTTGAATTTATTTAGGCCAGGCCTATTGTCGAATTCCAGTTCTAGGCATAATAATAAATTGATTATTATCTCTGATTTTAAACCGAACAAAAAAACATAAAAATATTATCTTCCCCTCCCCCCCTGACCTTGAGTAGTTGAACCAAGCGCAGCCTGTATAACTAACTTGCCTAATTACTAGTCACCTTGCGGGAACCTCCAGATTTCTGCCATCATCTACTTTCCTTAGACCATGACTAATAATAACTAGCCTGTTTTTTTTTATTTATTTATTTGCTTTTGCTTTCTGTGTTTGTAAGGTTTATTTCCTTGTTTTAACTTTCAAGGTTTGTTCTTGCCATATGTGTGTATATGTATATATAAAAGCAAGCACGACAAATAGAGTAGTAATCATATCCTTCACTCAATGCCAAACACTTTAACCACAAGTGCTTAAACTGTTGATTTGCCAAAATACAATATGATGCTGAGAGGTAGTTAGAGGATGTTGGAGATCACATATGATGCTAATGTTTTAGTTCTTTCAATACGTTTTTTTTTTTTGAACAATCAGGCATACAATAATAATCTCCCATATCATGAGCTGAAACTTTCACGCAATTAAAAATGTAATAGCAGCGAGATCCGTCATGATGTTTTGTGGAGGAAAACACGAACACATGTAATATTCAACGTAGAAATAAAAAGAACACAGTTTTACCTACTTTCTTTAGCTTATATATATAAGCTAAGAAAGTAGTTATATATATATATATATATATATATAAATAGAAGTTCATGCAATTTTCTTAGTCTGTTGCGGGGGAAGTGAACTTTTCTCTTAAGATAGCGTCACGGAGTCTCACTAACGAGTAACGATGCAGGAAAACATGGCCTTTGTGATATGAATGATTAATCAATGTGGTGCGAGTCCCACATCGGGCAGATGGGAAGGGGTAGAGCGAAGGAGAGACTATAAAACGAAGGGAAGAATGACATTGGATATCCGTTTACCTGGACAGGGTTAATTGTTCATAGCCTTGGCCTGAGACCTTCACTGCACTTTTTAGGGGTGTATGCTAAAGGTCTGCCTGAATGGTAGAGTTTACGTCACAAATGTGGTGGGCAGTATTTGGGCGGTCCTTTTCCTATTCTAGGCTCAAAGTCTTTTCTCACTCCTGTAGCCCAAAAATCCAGGAGACAGGTTACATTTTTTTGGGCCATAATTATGCCTTAAGATTTTTGGCCCGCGTTTTTTTACTTGGTCTGGAGAAAAAATGAGGCAAATTTTCGGGATAAGACTACCGGATGCTTGGATTTTGGCCATCATCAGAACATTGAAGGAGTATGAGAACAACCTAAAAGGCATGAATGGCCTTGTCTTAAGCAACACCTGGAATCCGCAGAGGGAAAATTGGTTTAAACTGAACATGGATGATGCCTTCTCGGCTAACCAAAGAACTGTGGGGTGCCATTGTCTGATCCGAGACTTTAATGGTGTGTTTAAAATTGGGTTTATGTTCAAGATGGATAATGGTGACGTACTAGCAATGGAGCTCTGGGCATGTCTTTGGAGTCTGAAGTTGGCATGGGATCTCAACTATAGGAATATAGTTCTTGAGTCTAACTTGTGTGATGCTATTCGAATGTTGGAGGGGTCTCTATTGGTCCCCTGTTGGAGGATGTTGTTATGGCACAATGCTTGCACGGAACTTGAGAGTCGGCATCCAACAAATCTCCAAAGATGCAAATGATGCTGCGGACTTGATTACTAAGACTACTCTTTCATGTGTTAATGGGTTTCATCCCATCCTCATTCCCCAAACTGATTTAATTTGTATTTTACAGCATAACTTGTGCACAGTAGCTTAGCTTAGTTTTCTCTTTTCCATATTTATCAAAAGAGAAAAAATGAATATTCGTTAGAATTATTATATGTGTGTATATATATGTAAAAAATATTTTCAACATATAATTGTACTAGTTAAAATATTATATTTATTTTAAATATTGCATTTACCAGTATAAAAATTACAGAAAAAGTTTAATATTAAATGTGAATTGCCCAAAATATATCTAGATAATTAATTTATAAAAATTATAAAAACTTTTAATATTAAATTGGAACTTCTTGATTAAATATGCACTACTTAGATTTGTGATAACAAATTTATTAATTTCTTTTATAACTTCTATAAATTTGATTTTAATGAACATAAAATTAAAAATATAAAATAAAAGCTATAAATTTAGATGATCCAGTCCACTGGTGACATTGCGTACAAGTCCCGGGGGTGGGGGAATGCACCTCATGACTTTGGAAAAAATTATAAGCAGGAGGTAGTATATTTTACTATTTTTCACTTTTAATTTAAATATTTTGCACATCTAGCCCAACTTTAAAATTATTGGGTTTCAAAAAAAAAATTTAATATGTTTAGTTGAAGCCCAAAAAAATTTAACTCAAAATTTTAAAATCATTAAACCCGAACATTACTTTTATTTTAAAATTATAAATTTTATCTTTTAAAGTTAGCAATGATAATATCGATTGCCACAACAATAGTAGAAATAGCCTTTTTTGCTAAGAAGTTTGGAAAAAATTGGTTGCGAAATTGTATGGAAAATTCATTAATGAATAGTTGTCTAGTGACTTATTTTGAAAAAATATATTTTTCTCAGCATCAATAATGAGATTATTGTTCAATGATTTTAGAACATAAAATCATGCAAAGTACAATTATAAGGTATGTACATGCTTTTTTTTAAATTACTAAATTATTTTTAAATTATTAATTTTAAAAATGTTGTATCCTTTGGCACAGGGTCCTGGCATCGCCACTGTCCATGTCTCATCACCTCTTGTGGGCAATAGGGAAGCTAAACTCATGTGTAAGCCAATACTTTCGTAAATAACTAACAACATTTTATAAATAAATGAATGGGTGAAATAAGGTAATGAATAAGTAAGATAGGACAATTCTGATATTGATTTAAGTAAACGATAATTTTTTCATTTTTCAAAAATTTAATATCTAATTAGTACCTTTGAACTGTAATGAAATTTTAAAAATTTAGAACTTTTAAATTTAAATAAATATGATCCAAAGATCTTTATAAAATTCTTCCAATATACAATCATGATAAATACTTGTGGTAGAGTTTTGTGTCTTTCTAGTCATTTCTGTCAGGCTCATATTAGTTAGGTACTCAAGGTCCAACTAGGGGTGTTCAAGTTAGACATGTTCCAATCGGTTCGAACTCATCTTGATCATTCCAAATCATATCAAATTGAGACTATCTTGACCTGAAAAAGATTGGAATGAAACTTTTGTGAGATGGAACAGAAATAAGTACGGGACAGGATGGGATAGGACTCAAGTTTACTTTCGGAATGTCCTGTCTTGATTATGTTAGGCGTATTATTTTCTTTTTTTGAAATTCTACAGCTCGTTAATTTTGGCAATGGGTGTTCTATGTGATGTTTTTAATGTCATGATGTGTGCTTCTCCTCTCAGAGTCATGGTACGTTTCTCATGTATTCGAGCATTCATTTCTTTATTTTTTTGGTTTTCAAATGTTATTTTGGCTCATCATGACTTGATATGCCTGGATGGCTAGATCCCATCCCAACTCCTTCAAAGATAAGACAAGAAACAGGACAAAATTTGAGTCTCAATTATTTTTTAAAATAGGACATGAGATAAGAGTGTCTCGGTTCTGTCACGTGTCGTGAGCACCTTTAGTTTATGATTATTATATACTGAGTGGTTTAAAAAAAAAAAAGACAAGCTAACAAAACATTGCTTGGAGCATGAATTATTGGCACCCATATCAACGATAAGGGTACAATTTTGTGATCGGTCAAGATGAGTTGTTAAAGCGATTTTCTTTTCTTTTTCCCCCCATTATTGGCCCAAAAAAGCGATATTCTTTTTGATCAACACGTGCAAAATCGGAAGTTTGTATTTTGGTCCTTTGACGGACAAGGAACATGGAATTTAAAATAACATCGCACACACAGAGCAATAAGATGTGATGAGATTAGACGTGGGCCATATTGGGGGAGGGTGCTCTGCCTTGGCTCAAATCTGTTCACGACGTTTCATTTCCTAATTTCTTTTGTCTGGTAAAGAAACTTAACCAACCGCGAGGCCAAGAGAAAAAAACAAACGTCACCGAACAAGGAAAAGAAAATATAATGCATCGTTCAAGTCGCTTAGAAGGCCATTGTTTTATCTAAAGAAAATATAATACTTTTTTAAAATTAATTCTAAGTTTAAAATCATGGTTTTAAAAAATTTTATTCAAACACCCCAATTTTCTCAAATTGCATTTGATTTCCAAAACTTTATTTAGAATAAGTTAAAATTTATTTCATTTTAAAAAATCAATATCATAATCAATTCTTAAAATTTTATTCAAACACCATCACATTCTAATAATTAATTTTTTTTAATTAAAATCCAAACACACCCCAAATCGTTTCCTTCACCAAGTTTTGGAGCACCTTTGGAGTAAGAAGCATGCGCAAAGCCACATTGGCTGTTGGAGCATCAAAATCAAACGACCATGATGACGTGCACACTACAATAAATCATAATCATAACTTGTAACCATTAACTTCTCCTAGGCACGAACAAGTTGATCCTCATATTTCACCGTTACTGTTCACTGCTGAAAGTGGGAATCTTGGAGTAAGAAATTAATTCCAGAACTTGTTCTTATTCGCCGAGACACCCCAATCCTTATCATCAAGGTTTTTTGGCTTTGGAATCTCCTGTGAACCCAATGGTTCCACTTGACAGTGACTTTATATAAAGCAAAAACGTGACCCAACAATTATTAAAGTCAATGTAGTAAATTATTGGTTGATTCTTGATATCGTCGATTTTGTCAGTAGTTCCACTTTCAAGCACCTGCCTTCCCACTTCTCATTCTTCTCTCATGTTAAAATGGTGGGATTCAATTGAATTGAAGCTTGCTTAACCTTCGTCACTTCAATGGCGATCCCTGTGTTTCTATGTGCTGTACTGTTGCTGGGCTTTCTTTCGTCGTCGGATTCGAAGTATATAAGATACAATACTACGTCAAGCACTGTTCCTGGGAAACTCAACGTCCATCTGGTACCTCATACGCACGATGATGTTGGATGGTTGAAGACCCTCGACCAGTACTACGTTGGTTCTAACAATTCCATTCAGGTCATTTACACGCTCGCTGTTTATTCTCTCAGTATCTCTGTGAGATGTTGAATATTGATTCCTCCTTTTGGTTTCTCTAATCTGGAAATGCAGGGAGCGTGTGTTCAAAATGTGCTAGATTCTCTGGTACCGGCATTGTTGGCCGACAAGAATCGCAAGTTCATTTATGTCGAACAGGTAAGGATCTAGCATGTTTCATGATTCGGTCTGTGGCTGATACGTGTACGTTTAGTTTCTTTCTTTGCAGATGATTTCTTTTAATTTAGTAACTTAATCATTAATATATTTTTACCTTTACTAGATTTTTTTCCTCACAAAGTAAATATGGCGAAGAAGTGAAAATTTGAAGGTATAAATGCTGTTTGATGATTAACAACTTTTACCTGGAATATCCCCAGTAAGAAGTTACTGGATTTTATATTTCATTACCAAGAGAATACTAATAATTATAGATTAGCTCATACCCAGAAAAACAGGACATGCACAAGTTCCTATTGCAGCAAAGCTAGTCCCATTTTGGACTTAAACCGTGTGTATACTACGGTTTTCAGGTCTCGAGCAAATTCTAGTTCTTTGCCTTTATTATATATTAGCTATTAAACCTTACTTGGCTTGCGTCAGTTTAAGTCCACTCACATTTGGAAAATTTAACCAAATCAATTTTGAGATTTTATTTTCAGGCCTTTTTCCAACGTTGGTGGAGGGAACAAAGTGAGGCAGTTCAAAACACAGTGAAGCAGCTAGTCAACTCTGGTCAATTGGAGTTCATGTATATAAATACATTCCATAATCCTCCTACACTAAACAAAATTTACATATAAAATTAATGACAAGAGGCTAGAACTTTGATTTTTCTATTCAAACTAATTGCTAACTTGGGATTGCAGAAATGGGGGTATGTGTATGCATGACGAGGCAGCTACACATTACATTGATATGATTGACCAGACAACTCTTGGGCATCGATTTCTTAAACAAGAATTTAATGTAACACCAAGAATAGGTTGGCAAATTGATCCCTTTGGACATTCTGCAGTGCAGGCGTATTTGTTGTCAGCAGAGGTAAGCTTTTGATTTGGTACGTTTCAGAATTTGAACACGGTAATTGAAAAACAACTGAAATTTGATGTCAAATAATCTGTATTGTTGTCATAGGTTGGATTTGATTCCCTATTTTTTGCACGGATTGATTACCAAGACAGAGCAAAGAGGAAAGGTGATAAGTCACTCGAAGTTGTTTGGAGGGCATCTAAAAGCCTTGGTTCATCTGCACAAGTGTGTAAACTGAAGTGGTTTTATTGACAAGTGTAGTAAAGATTCAACTTGTAATTATGCTTTTTTAATTGTTGATCCTTGAAAGTGTTCCTTACCTGTAGATCTTTTCTGGAGCATTCCCTGAGAATTATGAACCTCCTAGTAATTTCTACTATGAAGTAAATGATAACTCTCCTATTGTCCAGGTGAAATCTATGTCAATCATAGCTGAATGTGTTATGTTTTGTTTTCCAACTAAGGCTGAAGCCAATGTACACCTTTTATTACTTGAAGGATGATATTGATTTGTTTGACTACAATGTACCTCAGCGAGTGAACGAGTTCGTCTCAGCTGCGATATCACAGGTAAATGACTACAATATACTTCCATCTTGAAGTAATAATCTTGTTAGATACCCTTAGTCTACCTGGACAGATAGACTGAGCCAATGAGCCGTAGCCATGTGGACAAGCCAAGGATCTTTTCAGCGCCTTAACTGGTGCATGCTTCTTTTGTTAAGAAGTTTAGATCTTAGTATGGCAGCCATTGTTTTCTTTCCTTATAGAAACGATCCAAATGAAGTACTGTAAATTGCCAATTCCTTACACTACAGTTTTATTAATTGTGTCTCAACAAGAATTCCATTGACTGGCCTTGTCTCATTCAGGCAAATATTACTCGTACAAATCATATAATGTGGACGATGGGAACAGATTTCAAGTACCAATATGCGAATAGTTGGTTTCGGCAGATGGACAAGTTTATTCACTATGTCAATCAGGTTATTGCTCTTTAACTTGCTCCTTAGCTTAAGAGTTTCTTAACTTCATTGTTTTGTTTTAGCCGTGTAATGTTGTGTTTCTTAGGATAGGGTTTGACTCTATCTGACTCAAATATTTAAACTTTTGCAGTGCACACCAGCGATCATGTTGCATCTCATTTTTGAGATAATGAAATTTCATATCACAAACTTGATTGCCAAATCTGATTCATGATTTTATATTAACGAGACTACGGGTTTGTGTTTCCTTAGGATGGAAGGGTTCATGCCCTGTACTCGACCCCGTCAATTTATACTGATGCAAAATATGCAGCAAACAAGGCTTGGCCAATCAAGACTGAAGACTACTTTCCGTGAGTTTTAACCTTTGGTCTGCAAAAAATAGATAGAACAAACCAATTATGGTCTATAACAAACTTACATATCAATCTATGTTGGCTTGCTTTACTAATTTTTAAAAAGCTGGGTATGGTTAAGAATTTTTCTATTCCTTTAATCCTGCATTTTCTATGTGGCACATGTTCTTGTTAGGTATGCTGATCGTATAAATGCCTATTGGACGGGGTATTTTACAAGTAGGCCGGCTCTTAAGGGTTATGTTAGAGCGATGAGCGGATACTATTTGGTAAGCTTTTGTGACTGTCAGTTCAAGCTATCACATAATCACGAAGATTGAGGCATGTGAGGGTTTTAGACATTTTGAACTCTATGCTGATCTGGAACCTGTGATAAAGAACAGTGTCCTTCGATTCTAAACAGGCAGCAAGACAGTTGGAATATTATAAAGGAAAGAGCGCATCAGGCCCTAAAACTGACTCTCTGGCAGATGCTTTGGCTATTGCTCAACACCATGATGCAGTTTCTGGAACAGAAAAGCAGCATGTGGCTAATGATTATGCGAAACGGCTTTCAATGGGTTACACTGAGGTGAGTGAGAATGAGACTTATCACTTATGCACTATAATCTCTTTCAATGCCTTCATTCCTTGAACTTAAAAATGTTCTTTATGCTAATGACCTACACAGGCTGAGAAAGTTGTCGCAGCATCACTCGCTTGCATAACTGAGACAACATCCAAATCTGGTTGTAATAGTCCACAAACTCAGTTCCACCAGGCAAATAGTACTCTCTTTTATTTACAGATTCTTTAGAAGCAATGTTAAAAGACTGTTCTGAGATTGAGTTCTTGATTGTCCATTTTCTTTTATTTCTGCTTCATTGATCTCTTTCATCCTGTCAATACAGTGTCCACTTTTGAACATAAGTTACTGTCCTGCATCAGAAGTTAATTTGTCAAACGGGAAAAACCTGGTGAGGAGTTTTGACATCTTATCTGATGCTGGATTGATTTTGCGTAAGTTAGAACCAAATAATTTGATCTTTCAGGATCTATCACTCAGAGATATATTGTCTCCTGTAGGTTGTTGTTGTTTACAATCCTCTTGGATGGAAAAGAGAGGATGTTATAAGAATCCCTGTGAGTTTCTTTTTCATTTTCTTCTGGCTTTTTTTTTTTTTTTGTGGCCCCTTTGTGCTGCGGAATAACCTCATGCATTACAATGAATGGGAGAAACCACATTGCTTGAATTTTACTTGCTTTTGTTTAACATCACAACACGACCAAATTTGCCCTAGGTTATCAGTGAAATTGTTAATGTTCGGGATTCGAGTGGAAAAGAAATTGAATCTCAGCTTCTACCAATTCTTCATGCTTCGCTGGCTCTAAGAAACTACCATGCCAAGGCATACTTGGGTGTATCTCCATCTGTAAGCCCCAAGTATTGGCTTGCTTTTTCAGCATCTGTTCCTCCACTTGGATTTAGCACCTACTACATATCAAGCTCTAAACAATCAGGTTAATTCTAAATCCGCTTTTGAGAGTACCATACATGCATAAGAACTGTAAAATTGCCCGATTTTGCATGTGAACAAGGTTTTATTTTTTGAAAAAGTTGCAGGTTCAGCTGTTATTTCAGACAGACAGACAGAGTACGAGTCAGGAAGTCAAGATCAATCATTTGAAGTAGGCCCAGGCAACTTGAAACTAGTTTATTCTGGGAATGAAGGGAAATTAACTGATTATATCAACACAAGAAGCAAGGTAATATAACTTTGGTTTAAACTAAATGTGGTGCTTATTTTTATGATGTTTATATGAAGGACCACATGGTTTTCATTATAAATTGCTGTTCACAATGGAAGGTCAAAGAATCAGTTAATCAGACATACACTTTCTATGCTGGGTATGGAAATGATCATACTCAGACTGCTCAGGTAATAAAACTTTCTATAGTGAATCTTGTTTATGGTATGATAGTAATTACTAATGAAAGTGATTTTAATGTTTTACGTTGTTTAAGGCCTCAGGAGCATATATTTTTCGCCCCAATGGTACATACCCCATCAAATCTGAAGGGAAGGTAATTAAATTGCCTAAATTATCCCTGTATTCAGAAGCAATACTGTAATAGAAAAGTTGATGTCTTCATTTTTAAATTTTCAGCTCACAGTTTTGAGAGGACCTATAATTCATGAGGTGCATCAAGAGATCACTTCATGGATATATCAGGTATTTTTCTTAAAGTGAAAAATAACAACAATTTTTTTTTTCCTGCTGTTCTCGTCTGAAGTGTTTAGCCTGCACCTTTTCCCCCATCCTTTCAGTGGTAATTTTATTGGTATGTAATCATTGACCATAGCTTTTTTGAGCAGATCACTAGACTGTACAAGGGAACAGAACATGCTGAAGTTGAGTTTATCGTATGTATTTATCTTTCTCATTTCATTTTTTAATTTTTCCTTGATATTTTCTAATGCAGATGCTTGTGAATATTATTAGCATTTATTTCTATAAGAGCTTATAATCATGATAAAGCTATTTGACGCCAGGTTGGACCCATACCTATTGATGATGGAGTTGGCAAAGAAATCGCCACTCAGATTAAAACAAATCTCGGAAGCAACAAAACTTTCTATACCGATTCTAATGGACGTGATTTCATGGAAAGGGTAAGTCACAATAAGTTTGGAAATTAATTCTCAATTAGAAATTTTCACATGAACATGTTAGCTGTAATGCTTGTTTGCTCAGATTCGAAACTATCGTAAAGACTGGAACTTGGAAGTCAATCAACCTGCTGCTGGAAATTACTACCCTGTATGTTTCATCAAACCTTCTATTTACAGTAATGCATGTGACAGTACCTAAGAGATCCAATTTCTTGCTTCAGCTCAATCTCGGGATTTACCTAAGAGATCAGAGTAAAGAGTTTTCGGTATTAGTAGATCGGTCTGTGGGTGGATCCAGCCTTATTGATGGACAAGTGGAGCTAATGGTTCACAGGTCTGTCGTGTTATTCATAATTTCATTGTTTAAGTTGTTCATTGATATACCATTCAATATTCATCACTAAAGCTCTATTGTTTCCACTGTAGGAGGTTACTTGTGGATGATGGCCGGGGCGTCGGCGAGGCGCTAAATGAAACAGTTTGCATTCATAATAAGTGCACTGGACTAACTGTAAGAACATCCAAATTAGCCTCTGGGTTTTATGTTGATGGGATACGTAACACTAGCACTTAGATACACACAATATGAAGCGTTCACGTCTAAGTATCCAAGTGCTTGATTTTTCACTATCTTGCAGATCCTTGGTAAGTACTACTTCAGAATTGACCCTGTAGGAGAGGGTGCCAGATGGCGTCGCTCATTTGGTCAGGAGATATACTCGCCATTTCTTTTAGCCTTCACACAAGAGGTTAGATTAGAGGAAAAATCACTCTTAGGTCTCATTCAAGGAATCTAAATGTAGGAAAGGTCTCATGAAATCACAAAATTATTTTGAAGTCTCGTGTCCTTTACTGAAATTGTTAATCACCATTAGATATTTGTTAATTTTTGTCTCTTAGTTGTGGATTAAACAACTCCATTAACAATCATTCAGCAGTAATTGATAATTTTAATATAGTAAATCGACAACTTCAGTATAGGACATGGATCTTCAAAGTAATTTTGTAATTTCATGAGACATTTTTGTATTTAGATTGTTTATATGGGACTCGAGCGGGATTTTCTCTAGAATAGATGAGCGCATTGAGCTCTTCTTTTAAGATGCGTAGAGAATTTGAATTGATGTTTGCATTGCTTTGTATGGTTAATTTCCACGATACTGATGAAGCCTTTTTTCCCCCTTCATGTAGAGTGGAGATGGTTGGAGAAATTCTCACGTGACAACCTTTTCAGGGCTTGATTCCTCGTACGAGATACCAGATAATGTTGCAATATTAACACTTGAGGTGAGTGCATATTTTTCACCTTGTATCAATTAAAGGGAGACAATACTGAAGACTTGTCCTGATTAAGTTGTTTCTGGATCATGCTGATCTTTTCCCTGAATTTGAATTCCTAGTTTGTGATATTTTCCATGGAAACAATCACTGATTTGTAAGATTTCTTGTCACTAAGAATGGTATACTGCTTGTTGAATTCTGCAGGAGCTTGACGATGGACAAGTTATCCTTCGGCTGGCTCACTTGTACGAGGTAAACATTTGAATCCACACAAACTTGTTAGCTAAAAGATGTACTTTGATTTTTCACTAAAAAACAGACGAACTTTGATATGAAACTTTTGGTCACCTAAATCCTTGGAAATATTTAAAAAAAAAAAACTATTTTAAGTAGGATTGGTTCATTATTGAAATATGAAGTTGGATTCACTCATCAACGGCATTCACATTCTTCTTTATTTTTGGCCAATGCAAGATCGACGAGGACAAGAATCTTTCCGTCAAGGCAAGTGTTGAACTGAAAAAGGTGTTCCCGGGTAAAAAGGTAAAAGAAAATATGACATTTTTATTCTTTCACTTTTTTCATAATTAGAGCAGAGTAGATAAATCTTTCAGTTTATAGCTCATGAATAGTGTTTCTATATTTTATATTATTTTTTATTGATTCATAACTATTCAGGACTTTGTCTCCAATTAGATTTTTAGTGTATACTATAAAAATTCTTCTTTAATATGTTTAACGTCAAAGAAATTATTTGTGTGTATAATATCAAACTTTAATCTTATATCAACGCTTTCAATGAAATTTTTATGAGAAATGAATTAAAAGGCGTATGGATTTTTAGGGAGAATTTTAGTGAAGAAGTAATGAACTTGGAATTAAATTAATTATCATCGGAATGAGATTTTATTTTTAAATTCATTATTAAAAACCCTGACCATCCATCCCATTGTGATCAGATAAAGCATATAACAGAAACAAGTCTGTCTGCAAACCAAGAAAGAGCAGAAATGGAGAAGAAGAGATTAGTGTGGAAGGCAGAAGAAAAAGAAGCAACGCACGTGAAAGGCCACGTGACAAGAGGGGGACCCGTAGATCCAGAAAAGCTCGTGGTAGAACTTGCTCCCATGGAAATACGAACCTTCGTTATCGCTTTTTAACCCCAAAAAATGATATGAAAAAAAGGACCAACCGCCGCAAAATCATCAAGCGGTTCTTCCACTCATTGATGTCTCCCTTTACCCTACAAATAAAGGAGGCTGTGGCCTTCATTATATGGGACTCAGAGCCACGTCTTCAATTGTGTTGTAATTGAAATAGCACAATCAGCATTATGTTCACTTTGCGGCTCTAGTGAACACTCAATTGTACTAATTTAATGTTTTATAATATAAATATGGTTTTTAAAATAAAAGATTAATTAATAACTGCTTTCTGCTCATCTTATCTTTTCATAATTTTTTATTAATAGGAAAAAAAGTAATGTATGAGAGATAGATTGCTTTTATTATTACAATATTAATAATTTAATTACATGTGATTTATAATATATGATGAAAGGGAATACACTCGGTTATTAACATGCAAAGTGAGATTCCATCCAAATTCCAATATAAGTTATTGGTAAGTAATTTGTGTTTCTAAAAAAATTGTTAAAATTTTAATTTTCTAAAAAATTTTTACATCTTTTTTAATTGTACTCTTAAGTGGATTAAATATAATATTTGACATTTTCACTCATGTAAAACACTTTCATTAATCAATTAAGTGAAATATAATAAAGTAAAAATATAACTAAAAAAATATAAAACTTATTCAATATCTTGTATTTTGGGTTAAGAAAATGCTTTATATTATAATCAGGATGGGCATAAAACAATAACAGCAGTGAAACTCTATATGCATGCAGGCTGCATCTAAAATGTAAAGTATCGTAGTCTCGTTTCATAATATTAATAAAGCAGTAACACTTATTTTTATATTATACTATTACTTTTTATTAAATTAAAAAAATAAGAATATTTAGTTCAATACAAGAGAGAGTACTTTAATCCAACAAAAATATTTCATTGAAAAAGCTATGGAGTGTACGATTATAAAAGTTGAGATGTTATAAACATTTATATTTTATAATATTTACAATAATTATAATATACACATATTTGTGTTTTTTAGGTGAACGTTATGTATAGAAAAAATAATAACAAAATTCCTTCAAAATATATACATAATAATTTAGTCTCTCAAAATATAATAATTTTTCTAAAGTTTTTAAAAATTTTTATATCATTAATAAATTTATATAAATTATTAAATTATTCTTATTAAAAATAAATAATTCATAAATTTTAATTAAATATTTAATTTTTTTTATATTCACAACAATGCAATAACATCACAATTTTACATGTTAAATTTTTTATTTCTTGATGCATTGTTATTAATATAAGAAGAAAAAATTTAAATATTTAAACAAAACTTATAAATCATTTATTTTTAACAAAAATAATTTAATAATTTATATAAATTTATTCATAACAAAAAAATTTTTAAGGATTGTCATTTATATATACACACACATATATGTATTGTGCGCGCGCTTTGTTGAGTCATGTTCTGTGTGATCGCGAGAGAGAGAGAGAGAGAGAGAGAGAGAGAGGATCTTTAGAAATAAAAAAGGCGGGTGGGTGTTTCCGTATCTCGAGCGACAGCCATGAAAAATCGCTACAGGTTTTCGACTTCTGAACATCCAATTCCTTCCTTCTCCTCCAAATACGCTCTAAATAAACAATATCTATTTTAACAAAATGACAAGCTAATGCTCTCTCTTTCGCAGATAGACCACGATTCATACCCCTCCAAACTTCCAGGATCAACAAGAGGATTGTTCTCCATCTTCAATTCTGGACAATGCAAATTGACAATCTTGATGATTCGCCATTGTTCCGCCAACAGGTTCTGTTTCTTTCGATTCCCTGTCAATTTTAGTGCCATATGTTTTAAGAGTCCTATTCGTCTTAAAATTGTTGATATCATTGGAATGATGCTCTGATTCCAAACTGAATGGACGTCAATCTCTTCGGCATTTTGTTCCTTTTGTGTGTCACATTGTTATGAGCAAGAAATACTGCTTTTTATGACGATTGTGCATCTCGTCCATGGCTGGTCTTATTTCCAAGGGATGTGAATGTATCAAATTTGAAAATGCTCGTGCATGCCTTGTTATGGTTTTTCTGAACATTGCGGGATCCTTATTCATGAGTGGCTATGTATGCAGATCCAAAACTCGGAAGAAAGTGCTGACTTGTTAAGAGCCAGATGCTGGAAGTTCTACAAAGGATGTCGAAAGTACACGTGAGTTTTGATCATTTCCATGGAATTGTTAAATTAACTTGTTCTGTTACCATTGGAGACGGTTTTCACAATACTCACTTCTCTTGCATGTTTTATGAGTTTTTATGCGGGAATGATGAATTGTGTTAGACTATTTTATCATAAACTGTTGGAAGAGAGTGAAACTCAAAGCACGTAAGTATGCATGACCTAGTCCAGACTTTCAACATCCTCCTAAGTTGAAAGAACTACAGAAAATTGAAAGGGGAAAAAAAAACGAGAGAGAAGAAAAATAAACAAGAAAATATTAAAAATGCCTTTCAAATTCATTCTCACACTTTGTTTCTCGCCAAGTCTTTTTAGGGAAAGAGTTGAAACACACAACTTATTTCTGCTCAACGAAGATGCCTATTCTCTGTTACTCTAGGCTCTCAAGTCTTTACAACCTCTCTCAGCCACTAGACAGCTAGTATTAGAAGTAAAAAATGTACAGTGACGATCAAATTGGACAAGTGAAGGAACGAAAGTTCTAGAAAACCAGCCTACTGAACGATGATGAACAAGTATTGTTGTCTTTCATTTAAGACACGACTTTATATCCATATCTTGAACAAGTGAAAGAAGCAACTGCTACCTAATGACCAATTAAAATTACTGACAAACGTGGATTGCTTCATTTTAAAGCAGCTCAAGGAATTACAGTCATTGAATGGTCGTTATATTAATATGGATTTATACGCATCTTCTTTGATAATGTTAGGAGTTGGGCCACGACTTAAATTTGTAAGCGAGGAAGGCCTCTTATGCAGGCTGCTTTGGAAACATGAAAATTAAATGGAAATTTTGTCATGCTCCTCAAGTTTTTAAAATTGTTATTTCTTATGAATTTTAAATCTTATTTTAGGGAAGGGCTTGAAGGGGAATATGATGGGGACATCGCATTTGCAAATGCCCTTGAAACATTTGGTGGAGGGCCTAGTGATCCTTTTTTTGATGTTGTGGGAGGTAAGCCTTATTGGTCTCCTTTCTCCAATTGCATTTTCTTAAAGGTAATAATTGGATATTTACTTAATTCGAAGTTAACCCAGGGTTACATAATTGCCCTGACCTAACATGAGTTAGTTGTTGAACAAAATAAGCATTGGTGCGTGTTTGTGCTGGTAAAAATTTTCCCAACTCAAGCAGGAAACATGGTCCAAGTTGCTTGACTTAATCTAAATTAAAGCATGCCATAGAATACTTGCCTTTTTCTAGTTTTCAAGAAGAGGGCTTTTTCTATGTAATATACCGTATTGAGTTCCAGTAAGTTATGACCCTTTTTTTTCTTTGTGGTTATTCATTTCGATATATCATTCTTAGGATCTGTAATGACCAAATTCACTGTTGCTTTGAGAGAAATCAGTACATATAAGGAACTGCTTCGGTCACAGGTAACGTTTTGCCTAATGTTGTCAATGTCATTTTTTTTCATTATTCCATCTATTTTTTCCACAAATTATTTTAATTAGGGTTGTAGCATGATTCTTTATATACTGCTTCTTCTAGTAAATGAATGCCCTTCTGTATACCTTCAGTTATCGAGGTTTTAACATGTCCCTGTAGTTATTCTTGGTTGAAGAATTCAACTTTATATTCACCATACTCAAGCGTATTTGTAATTAGCTTGTGAGGGCTCGTTTGTAGCTTATTTCATTAAAAAAAATACTTATTTTTTTTAAAATCTATTTTGTGAGTTTTTATAATATTTGTTTAAACTTTTAAAAATAATTAGAATATAAAAAAAGCATATTTAGATTATTTTAAAAAGCTACTTTGGATAGCTTTAGAAAATAATCTAATGCAGTAAATAAAAAAATATTTTAAAGCAGCGGGCAGGGTACATGAATATATTATAAAATTTTAAAATAATATAATACTAAATCATTTTTTATAAAAACAAAAGTAAAGGAAGATGTCATAAAATTTAAAAATAACTAACTAATAATCACTCTTTTATTATTGTAACCAAACATTAAATAATGTCTGCTTTTTATAAAATTTTTACACTATAAAAAAATCCCTTATTTTTTAATCACGTCCTAAATAGGCTATACTATGTATAAAGAAAGTGATGTCTTTCCAGCTCGAGTCCCGGCAGTGTTTTGGTTGTAGCTTGTACCTAGTAGTTTGACCAATGATTATAAGAAATACACACATAATAAAATATCTGGATGTTCAGTTCTTATGTTCATCCGATTATCTTCTTGTACTATAAACGTTAATTACTTTTAAATTTTGCTATTACATGTATATTCGTGGATTCCTTCCTAGAAGACAACTTTAGATTACCAGCTACGCAGATTACTTGTATCATGATGGAAACCTCTGTATATTAATTAGTATAAATCAAGACAACCAGAAGAACGGGACAACGTTGAAGAAATATAGTGGGGAAAAGACGGAAAAAAATTAAAACAAAAATGAAAATGGTCCTCTGGCTTTCGAGAAGCTAGAGTCTCCCCAGACAAGTCTGATTAATTTTCTGCTCGCCTTTCCCAATAGTTCTCCACCTGACTTTGTCTCTCCACCCACTCTTGTAGCCCGTGCTGAGATTGATTAACTTAAAGGCACCTTATCCAGGGACATATAATCAAAATTCACACTGTTCTCCTTTCATCTTTTCCTTCTATAGACCTTTATAACCCAAGACCCAACATACAATATCCATGATGTTTAAGAATATGTTTCTGAAGATGACTGATCTACATACAATATCTGTTTTCATTTATGTGTCACATCACTCACCAAGTATAAGAATAATTTGTTAGTTGATGGTTGGTGATGATCAAATTAGAAGTTCCCTTGATGTATATTCTCCATTGCCTCTTTTTTCCCCACTCAGAATCCCGCTTTATATTGGATTGATTATTTTTTCTTATCGACATTATTATTTTTATTTCCATCTACTGTGCCTTCTTAGGTGGAGCACATGCTGAATGACCGATTACTACACTTTCTCAATGTTGACATCCTTGATGCCAAGGTATATTTGAATAATAGAAATAGTTCCACATTTATAGGTAACAGTGTTGTTTTTTGTACTCTAAAATCCTTGGAATATTAAGGCATCATATCCTGTGGGCTTGGCTATAGTATTTTCCCTACCAAACCCATATAAATATGATGCTTCTCTGCCTTTCTCAAGTTGTTTATGCTCAGCTCTTCTAACGAAACAAGACTTCAATCTTTGCCGATGTTTGTGGGTTTTCATATTAAGGTGCGCCTGCACACAAATGTATTACATGTGTCAGAAATATGTTTTCAAAAAAGCAGTACTCAACTTACACGCACGCAAGCATCTTGGTGTATGCGTTTGAGCTAATATTACCACAGGGAATAAATATGACAACAATGACTGCTCTAAAGACCCGGATGAAAAAAAAAAAAAAAACTTCTCAAGACTTTAAATTGTGGAGAGTGGACATCGTTGCTGATGAAATTAAGTTTAAAACCAACTACTCTCTTTAACAAAAACAAGTTGAACTCTTGAAGTTTCTCTTCTTCATCTACTATAATCATTCATATTCCTTTTGTTATGTGATTATATTTTTTTCCCATTTAATGCTTCAAGTGATGCCTACAGGAATCTCGAAAACGTTTTGACAAAGCCTCCGTTCAGTATGATCAGGTGCTTCTCCATTGCCTTTGAAGGTCGGACAGTATTGTAAAATATGCATCCACGGTTTTCATTCCTTGACAATAATATCAGGAGTATAATTTTCAATTTATGCCTTTTTAACCAATCTGTCGGGTCGATTTATAAATCAGGAGTTCAACATTTTTTATTATACTGGATTTATTATGTGGACCTGCATAGGCTGCATTATTTTGATTTTCATTTCAACCACTCCAAGTCAGTAGTTTAATTTGTTCATTAATGCTTCTACTCAATTCTTGAGAAAGGGGGAAGTTACCTCACTTTTAGTGGCTATATTTAAAGTGTGAGCTGTGAGATGATGAAAATAATATTTTAGTAGTCTGGTTGAAGTTTCAAGATTTTCTAGCATGTCAGATCTCCCTTGAGTTGAGTTTAATATTCAAATTATTAAAAGTAATTGCATTTTGGTTTGCCAGTGATAGTGAGATCTAAAGCTGTTGTCTCAAATTTCAATTCAAAAATGCAATCACTGCTCTGAGAGACTTTATGTTTAATGGGGTCTTAAGAAAAGACAGCGCCATTGTAAGCACAAGGAATTTCTTATCTCCTGATCGTAATAGCCATGCACTGAATTTTGTGGTACAGGCACGTGATAAGTTTATGTCTTTGAGGAAAAGTGCCAAGCTGGATACTGTTGCCGCCGTAGAAGAGGTACGTGTGGGAGTTTATTTTGTTACATCCAGTTCGTAATATTTTGTCTAATAGATAACCCTATTTCTTGTCATGGATTGCCATGATCCTTTAATATCTAATTGGTAGAGAGAGATTCCAGGAATTGCACAATTCAAGGGACTCGTTTGAGGAAGCCCGTTTCAACCTGGTAATATTAGCTCCGCAAGATACGTACGTGAGATTATAGTATGAATTTGTTCAGGTCTTAACTACAAGGCATAACTCATCATCCAGGTTAGTGCTCTCAACCATATTGAGGCCAAGAAGAGATTCGAGTTTTTGGAGGCTGTTCCTGGAATTATGGATGCTCATCTTCGATATTTTCAACAGGTATATGACTCAGTCGTATGCACGGTTCATTTTCATTGATAGTGTTGCACCATGCTGCCTCTGAAAAGTCTCTGTTTCAGGGATATCAATTATTCCAGCAGATGGAACCTTTCATTAGCGAGGTTTGCTCCTAGTTCTTTGCTTTTAACTTGACTTCTGATGCTTATAGGTTTTTCCTTGGAAAAGTAGATGTAGGTTTCTTTCAATTTTCCTGAAAAGCTATAAGCGTAGGGGGCCGGAGGTCAAGCAGCTTAAACAGACAGCTGTTGAATGTAATTATATGACAATTTTATTAGAATGTAGTGTTGGGAAACGTTAGTTTACTTCCTCAAAACTCGACCATCGATTCATACCATATGTGAAAGCCGTCAATGACATCAAAAGAAAATGTTAGTCGTAAATTTCGCTAAATATAAGGGATGTATTGACTGATTGAAAGATTGCCTTTACTGTGTCCAAGTTTCCTTTTAATTAGATTGCGCACGCGCGCGTGCACTGACACAAACCAAGGGCGCAGAAATAATTTACCTTCAATTCAGTAGCTAAAATTACAATCTAGTCCTTCTTGAGATGCATGATTTTGTTTCGAAGTTGGCATTGCCAGCAATCATTCGAGATGTTAAGCGTTTTTTGACAGCTTTATGCTTAAGAGGGTTTAGGAGCACTTCTATATATTTAATTCTGCTAGGTTGCAGGTTCTGAGTATTGCACAACAGTCGAGAGAAAATTACAATACGGAGCAGATTTCCCTTCTTGAAAGAATTCAAGAGTACAAAAAACAAATTCATCAAGATAGTAAGCTCAACTCAAATGGTCCTTCTCCTAATAGAGACATGCAGGCCTTTTGCAGGATACCAAATGATGTGGCCGATGCTGTAATGGAATCTGCTGCAAATGGGAAGGTATTTTCTGATATGATTTTTCCCTCTTTCTGCAGGAATGCGCTTTCAACATTTTGAGCCCTTTTATTTAAGATTACGTTTTTCAAAATATGCACGCAATTTTAGGTTCAAATTCTTCGACAAGGTTATCTGTCAAAGCGATCTTCCAATCTGAGGGGTGCTTGGAAGAGAAGGTATTTTGTTCTTGATAGTCGAGGAATGTTATACTACCATCGCAAACCAGGGAACTGGTTGCAATCGCACGTAAGTTACCAACTAAATTGTTAAAACGCAATATTCCATGTCTGATAGTGCTCATGTAATCATGTTGTCAGTTTCTTTATTTAACAAATCTTGATCATGCAATTTCAGGGCAGCAGCCAACCATCTGCAGCAAAAAATAATTCCACTGAAGCTAGTTCTGGGCTTTTGAGCCGTCTTGCTTATCACCATGCAGTTGTCGATGAAAAAACTGCCGCACGTCGTGCAGTGAACTTGTTAACATCGACAATCAAGATTGATGCTGAGCAGACGGATTTAAGATTTTGCTTCAGACTTATTTCGCCAACAAAGAACTTCACACTGCAGGTTCTTGCCCCAAAATTATTTTACACTTATTTGAATTTTATTACTTACTCCTGACGATGCTATGGTAAAACATTACAGGCAGAAAATACGGCGGATCAAATGGATTGGGTTGAAAAGCTAACAGGAGTAATTGCCTCCTTGTTGAATGCCCAGACAATAGAAAAGGTACATCGTAGATTTTTCATTTAAGTGCAATATTGGATACCGGAATTAATCGTGCTTAGTGATGATGATCATAATTAAAACAATGATACGGCAGCCTCTCTCAGCTGACTCCGAATGCAATGACGTTAACCCTGCCAGTAAAGGCAATTTGTCGGAAAATCCTCCAGTTGATGATCAGGTAGTGGCTGAAGCACGTGCATCTAAGAACTTCACCTCGAATATTTCCTCTGCTCTAGCTAAAAGTTTGCAATCGCGTCAACAGGCTGTAAAAGGTGAAAAGCCAATTGACGTTCTTAGAAAGGTGTGCGGGAATGACAAGTGTGCTGATTGCGGTAAACCTGATCCGGACTGGGCATCCTTAAACCTCGGTATTCTTATATGCATTGAATGCTCTGGTGTGCATCGTAATCTTGGTGTCCATATATCTAAAGTAAGTTGTTGTTGAGGCAATGAGGCTGCACATTGAATCTTATCCTTGTGCGTTGTATATGGCTCGTCTTATCATTCTTTTCTGAATAAAAGCTAGAAATAGGGCTTAAGAGCCTTGTACTTGTTACCTGAAAGCAATCGCCATGTCTAGCTGTAACGTAACTGTTTGTCATGGAAAAGCATTTGTTTGTTTATGATATATATAGTGAAAGAAAGATAATGGCAGTCGTTTACTTTGTCATTTGTTAGAGGGCTAATACTGTTATTGTACAGAACTAAAATTCATGCAACATTACTTGCAGGTAAGATCGTTGACACTAGATGTGAAAGTCTGGGACGCTTCTGTTTTGGGCATGTTTCAGTCGCTGGGTAATCTCTTTGCAAACTCAATTTGGGAAGAGCTGTTGCATTCACCAAGCAATTCGCAAGTAGATGATATGCCTGTTTGGTAAGCGCAGCCAAAATTTAATTATTTATTTTTTGTGGCCAATTATAGTATTAAATGTTTGAATGCATGCTAACAAGCGTTCCTGCGATGTAGTTCATTTAAGACCAAAAACAAGTTATTTCATGCAAAGAAACCAGAACATGACGACCCTATTTCATTGAAGGAGAGGTTCATTCACGCAAAGGTAATTTAACTTTCTGCTTACTGTGGCCTGATCTTATTTCGTACTTGAATATTAAGTGAGTTCAACAAGTCTTTGAAAGTCATCAATTAAAAAATTCTGAGCTTATATTTTCCAACTTGGGAAAACAGCAAAGACACTCTTTGCATTTTAGCAAACAAAGTTGGCTTGGTTAAAGATTTCCCAAGGAGATTACCAGAAAGTTAGTGCACTCTTTATGTTGATTATCGCATCGTCTTTGTTTCTTAGGCAGCCTATTTTGTGACCCGTAATGTCCTGCTTATGAGGTCAGAATTCATTGGTGAAACCAATTACTGTTTGGTTATATTATTGTGAGAGCATGTGGTCAGATTCCATATGTGTTCACAGTGCACATTCTGGCAAGGGAGAATGATAATTAGGTCCAAAACTTCAAGTTAATGATAGTTAGATTCCGAAAAAAATTTTATTGAAAAATAAGTTTGAGATAATGATTCAGCCAGCTGTAAATATGAAAATTTCAATTACAAATCACGAGACCTAAATGTCATTAATTCATGATTTGCAATTAAAACCCTCATATTTGCAAATCAATATTTTTAACTTACCTTTTAACATAGCTTTTCGGGGACCTAACTTTCATTAAATTCAAATTTCTGAGGTCTAACTGTCATTCTCCCTTTTGGCAAACATATTCTGTGATTTAGATACAAGGTGAATTACTCTCTGTTTCTACTAGAGATTTTCAAATTATACATCCCTCTCATCTATTATGAAAATCTGTACAAATTGATTTGAAACCAAAACATTACTATCTTCAAAAATATCTATTTCTCTTATTAAAATGTAACTTCTAAGAAAATATCTCTTAAACTTATATTTTAACTTTTTTCATTTTTTGTAAAAAAATGGAAGTGATCATCTTATATTTGCCATATAATATGTAATATTTATTCTAATGTAATTATAGATTACTTTTATAGCACAAAAGGAGGCTACAGGCTAGTGTAACTCATGCTTTGATTTCATGGAGTGAGAATATAATTTTTCAAAAATGTTGGGAGACGTATTATAGACATCTCTTTTCTTGAGGAAGGAAAGTGCAGTTATAGATGTCACAGGTGGATTTGACTGCTTCATTTATGCCACCATTTGTAACTTCAAACCCGCTGTTTTGCTCAGTGTTACGCAGGCGTGAAATAGGTGAAGAGATGCCTTAAAGGTAGCACATTAAAGTATTCTAGGAACGTGGGTTTCTAGTTGCTTCTTTTTTCTCTCTCTACGGTGAAACAAGTAGTGATCATATTTTCAATGTTACATTCAATAGTTGGCAGGAATCTTATTCTTCAAGTGTTGCTTGACAGGAGTTTATGGGAGGTAGAACTTGATGCTTTCTATTATTGCAGTATTTGGAGAAAGTCTTTGTTAACCGGAAGAAGAAAACCAATCGTGTCCAATCACTGGCTCACCAGGTGTGGGAAAGCATCTGTGCCAATGACAAGAGAGCAGTGTACCGACACATTGTCAAGTCAGATGTGGATCTCAATGCTATCAGTGAGCAAATATCATATGGTGTGTCTTCTTGTCTCTCAACTCCATTAGCTGGATTCTTGTTAATGAGTGGCTTAACAGGCAATACTGAGGCGTCTTCTTCAAGTAATATAGGCTCGTCATCAAAAAAAGAAAATCAGCTTACCGAGTTGCAACCCAAAAACACAGAAAATCAGCCAGTAGAGGATAGACAAGATTGTTCTAGTTCTCGTGTGCTTCATCAGGCATGTCTAACTGCCGATTCAAGCATGCTGGAGCTCCTTCTTCAGTATGGTGCAGATATAAATGCTTCAGACTCAAGAGGTCAGACACCACTGCATTGTTGTATGATCAATGGCAAGAGCGCAGCTGCAAAATTGCTAGTGATGAGGTAATAAATGTATTATCTGTCTCATCCATGCCTATGAACTTAGCACCCTACCCATTAAGATCCAGCTGGCCTCTTCTAGCTGCCTTTTGTTTCTACTCATTTAGTTTTTTCAATTATTCGTTTATTAGCACATGATGTGTTAGATATTCTTTTACCTTGTCACTCCGTCGGCTTGGGCCTCCATTAGAGCCATGGCGAAAAGCTAGGGAAAACAGCATGAATCCTGTGCTAATAATGTGTCCATATTATTTAGTATTAACTAAGCTGCTACTGTGTCCCGTTTGTCTCCATAGCCTTTATCTTCATCAACCCCTAATCTTAAAATACTGTTACTATGGCTTCCCATCCAAGTTATTAGCACTCCCTCCGTTCCTTTTTATAAGATGATTCTTACAAGGTTTTGATGTTACTATTTATAAGACGACTTGCAAAATCTAGGCAGTAATTAATACTTTTTTTTTTAACAAAAATGCACCTGAAAAGGAGTGATTTCAATTAGTTGAGAGTATGAGAGACAATAGAGTATTTAATGAAAGGCATGAAAGATGAGATAGTTTTAAAGACATCAATTATTCTTTTTTGTTTTTGTGAAGTAGATAATCTTATTTTATGAAAAGGAATAGAAAGAGTACAATGCACTGGTAAGTCTTCATTCACCTTGACAGTGCTAGAAGAAGCCACTTTATCAACTGGCCAAACCCCCTCTTTTTGCAAGAAGTGAGCCCCTCCTCATTGGTTGGTACATTGCTAGTTTTGCCCGTCTTCCTGTTCCTGGAACAGTTCTCAAGATAGTTGCTAAACTTTTGAGTACATCATCTAAGACCCTGTAAGAATTAAGCCAAATAAAGCATATGCTCTCGTCTCCGGTGATTCAGTGAATACATGTCTCAATACTTCTCCAATTCCATGCACATTTATTTATGTTCTAGGACATAATCAACCATCTGTGTTAATTACTTGGGGTATTATCCATAACTAGCAGGAGATAAAAGCCAGAAACTGATTTAGATTTCAGGCGCAAGCAGTAGTGTTATTGTGATGATAATACATGTTTCCTAATGGCAATATTATCAAATTATCTGTCATACCACGGAGCAAAAGTGCAGGTGAAACTGGAGATTTGATACCTGACTTTAAGGAAGTTAAATTGAACTCTAATCCAAGTGATCATGGTTATTCGATTCTCTGTCATGTCTTTTATACGTACAGCCTAAAGGACCTTTTCCCGTCACACATGAACCCATGTTACTGCAAATAATTTTGCCATGACCTTTTTTTTTTTTTTTTTGGGTAGGGGGGCCAATCCTCACTCTGTAGATAAAGAAGGCAATACTCCTATTGAGCTTGCTTCAAGATCCGAATCTTTTGGCAGTGATGTTTTCTCTCTCTTAACAAGCAGATAGCAAGCCCACAAAACCAATTATCACTGGCCAAACATTGCAGGAGCCGTTGTATATTATGAACAAGCTGGCGTCTTGGGCCATGCTGCTGAAGAGTAAACAAGTTGCTTTTTTTTAAGAGGGAAGAAAAAAAGTGATTTTTTATAATTTTCTGGATTGAAGTGTAGTTATGGGTATTTATGATATTTGTATATAATGGCGGGTTAAAATTATCCTCTGGATTGAAGTAGGTTATGGCCATGTTGCTGGGGGGCTCCACATGGGTCCTAATCTTCAACCATGGGTCCACCTTATTCAAATATTTGGAGAAATAGGAGCATCGTACGTATGTTCCAAGGTATGCATACAATCAAGCTTCTTGAATGATTATGATATGATTTATGATCACTCTCGGAGGTTTAACTTTCTCAATTTAGACACGTGACGACACTGGGAGACAAAACATGTAGACTCGCAAAAGCAGGAGACTTCTAATGTGGGGCCGACTATGTCCCTGAAACGTGGACCGTAACCAAGGTTTGTTTATGGAGTTATCATGAGGGAATAGGTAGATTCATTGTATGATAAGATGGTGAGTTAATATTCAACGTATTTGAATTTTCTCGACTCTTGACCATTGTACCGCGTCAGATCAGACATGGTTTGAAGTGTCATGTTAATAGGTTCGTCTTGAACACAATTTTCCACGTTCAATGGTTTTAGACTCATCTAAATATTTGTCATACTTGGCAAAAAATACTAAATTGCACGAATTGTAATCGCTAATCTGATGATGTGATGTGCCATCACAGCATCACGCATTGACTTCCCGAATGCCTTCCATATTCAGGATTTTATGTAGAGTGAAAAGGTGGAAGATAAGATTTTGATTAACGAGAATATTTTTCATAATATATTAGTAAGTATCAATATAAATTATTTTATTGCAAGCCATTGAGAATTTTCTTGATGAGGTTTTTTGTTTCTACTGCTAACTTATTGAAGAGAACTAAGCAAAGGCGCCTTTAAAAAAAAAAAAAAAACATAGATGTAATCGTGTTCACTTGACAAATAACATAAGATGATTCAATAAAAGTATAAAACAATTCTTCCACAAAAAGAAAATTATAAAACAATTTTGACAACGGTTGTTTATCTTAAAGGGTTTTTAGTAATAAGCATCTTTAGGGAATTGGTTAAAAATTTAATATTTAAAAGAGTATATAATATTTATAATATAAATTATTTATGACTTAAAAAACTAATTTAATAAAAAATTAATAATTAGTGACTTAAAATATTCATTCTAGTAAAACTTTTGGGAGGTTTTTCTATGAAAATGGGTTGGGGATTAAAAATTTTGAATAATTGAGAGGCGACGACTTAATAGAGAAAATTAAATTAATTTATCCTAAAATCTCATGTTCCTCTCATAAGTTCTCTTGGTAAAAACAATCCCAAACCAAAAAATTTTTGTTTATTTACGTTGAGGCGTTAGTTTCTTTCCACATCAATGCAATTAAAAGAGAAATTTAGGAGGAAAAAAAAGGAAAAAATTACATTTAAAAATCACTCAAGTAAATTACTTGTAGACAAAAATTATTATGGAATAAATTATTGTTAAAATAAAAAATGACTTGTTATGAAATTTTTTATTAATCATTCTCTATGAATAATTTACTTAAGTGATTCTTAAAAGTTATTTCCAAAAGAAGACATAAGAACAAACTCACACTGAAAATTTTTGGATTATTTTGGTCGCCGCGTGGTTTCATTTCACGGCAATTAAGGAAAAGACATTTTTTATCTTTGGTTTTCCCCTAATTTCTTTTTAGAGGGGCGAGACTAAAGTAAAAATTTTATCCTACTATCTTTAACAACATTTTGACTTGGGAAAAAGAAGGAGCTATTGAGCTGAATTTACGAACAATAATGAACAGAATTAGAAAGTGATTATTCGTGTTTGGGGGGAAGTTGCATTCGCTTTCATACGATGGCCCCTCAGAAGCATTGAAGACAAAGGTGGCGGAATTGGAGAAAACAAAGAAGACGGGGACCTCAAGAAAGAAGGACCAGTTCTTTGTGGAGGTTCCCAAATCCAAATCACACCTCGACACTGCCACAATGCCAATGATTCTCGCTGCCGTCGAAATCGCTCTCTTCGCCAAGTTCCTCATAATGATGACCCTCGAATCCCATTGTCCTTTTTTTTTTCTGTTCTTTTTTATTCCGAATCATTTATACCCCATGAGACGCTTCTATGTTTTTTTTGGGGTCATGTTCTAATGGCATTTTAACCGTTTGATGAAAGGACTAGCTGACCAATTGAAGTATGGAGGATCAAAATTAGAGGATAAGTGTGCATATAAGCTTGCAGGTAGTCTGTTGTAACCTGCGCTGTTTGCCCGCCTCTTAGTATCAACCTTTTGGTTTGCACAGGCCATTGGCATGTTGAGCTATGATCTTACCTATGTGTGTATTGGCATCACAGTATGATGAGTCCAAGTCCCCAGAGTTACTTGAGCGCAAGATAAAACAAGCACCTGCAGGTCAAGGTTCGACAAGTCAGGCCTAGGACTCCTTTTGAATCTAAGCTTGCCAGACCTAATGCTTAAGAGTTGGAGGTTGGAGAACCATAGCGTTTGGTAAGCTTGTGATACTTCTTATGCATGTGACTATTTAGCAGAAATACGTACAGACAATTTGGCACCATTCTATGCATCATGTTGTGAAATTACTTGCAAGGCAAGAAACATAATATCTTATGACGGTGACATGCCAATGCTAAATAAACCTAAACATGGGGTGGTGTAAAATGATAGGACACTTTAGCCTTAAATTAGGGGGAGGGAGGCAAGAGTGAATGCAAGCAGTGTGCCCTAAGGTAGTTCTTATGATAAAGTTACTCCCGTTTAAGTGGTTTTGACGTCATAATTTTGCTTCTAAATCCGAAACAGATATTTGAGTTGAGAATTTGGCCCAAAAGTATCCGGATATGTATTTTAAGTCAAGATTTTGACTAATTAAGATGAGTATTGACTTTGGCGCCTAAGTTTCTCACGGAAAAACTCACACCCCATAGGCAGCCCATGGGGTCTTGCTTATTGCAGCAATCTAAACAGGTTGCACGCCTAGGTTTTAGTTACATCTAGAAGGCTGTATCAGTACCATGACTCAACCTACTGCTGAGATATTTTTCTTTCCATGCAATGGGGGAGAAAGATAGTAACTTCAAAATATTAATCTTTTTAACATTTGAACCCTATGAAAATATGTGAAGAAATATTAAAAATAAAAAATAAAAACAAAGTTTCGTGGAACGCTCTGAAAGTGTGGCTAAAGTTAGAAAGGTACACAGCCCAATACGTCAAGCTCCTACTATACGCGAGGTCTTGAGGAAAATTGGGCCCACTTTGGATTTATCGAACTCCGAGTTATCCCTACATCCTCTCTGACGACTTGAACCCTTCGAAGTCTGTGGGTAAACATGAAAGAATTTTAAAAAACAAAAAGAAAGAAAAGAAAAGGCTGTATGGAGCTAGAAAGGAGCCATATAGATTTCAGAGGTTAGTGAATACTGAATAGTTCGATTCCATATAGATTTCATACGTTATATTGATTGATATTGATGATGTGCTAATGGATGCAGCTGTCCGAGCTGAAGATTATGATAGAAGTGGCTCCCAAGTAATGTAACTTGCCTCTCTGAACGTATCTAATTATTCGTTGAGTTCAATTTGCCATGCTCAATGTAAATTATTATCATTGCTGAATTGTTAACCTCTGAAGACATGCTCAGTAGCTGTAATGGCTTGATCCGGCTTCCATCAGAACTGCATGTATATGCCTGACGATGGAGTATGAAATAAGACTTATCATATAGATGTATTTCTTTATGCATTTATATTTTGTAGTGTTGTTGAAACCAAACCGGACGGTCTGACTATCACCCACTGAATAAAACGATTTGGTCCAACTAGTTGAATCAGTTGGACCAATCTGACATTTGAATCGGATTGACCTAGCCTATTTTGAGAGAATCAGCTTTGACATAAAAATTAGAGTAAGTCAACCTAGTTTAAAGTAGAAAAAAGAAAAAAAAAAGTTAGGTAATTTCTCTTCTCTGATCACTAATTCTCTCTTGCTTCTCTTCTTTAATCTGTAATCTCCCCTCTATAGTCCAAGCTCAATATCTAACTTCTCCTCCAACTTTTACCTCCAGTTCTAACAATCTAGTCTTTGACATTGAGATCAAAAGCTTGTGAGTCATGACATGACAATGTGCCTCCAACTCCAACTTTTTCCTTTGAGATCGTGAGCTTGTGCCGACATGCCTCTACCTCTAGCTTCAATAGTTTAGGCATCTAACCTTTGGAGTCGAGAGCCCAAACATCATTGACAAATTAATGTTTTATTTATATATTTGTGCATATAAGCATTATTTTTATTTAATTTTTATATCATCAGTTCAACCATGGGTCTAAGACGTTGAACCATAAAAACCACAATCCGTTACTCTTTTTAGTTTGATGTCCAGCTTGAGTTTCAAAATATTGATGTTTTGTACATGAATAGAACATCTTCCCACTATCAGTTCCCTAAAAGTTGATAAATGTCAGTGGATTCACACAGGCACTTCGAAAGCGGTTTTTTTTTTATATTCATAAGTATTTGTTTTATTAAAGTCAATCCTATTCAAGGTACAAAAATATTAAATATAAATATCTCTCTCAACAATAATTTGAATATTGATTGGTCACGTTATAAATGACCACCTAAACACAATCTATATTGTGAAAGACCACCTCCTTCCACAAGGTGGATGTGATAGCAGAGAGCTCCAGCTGGCCTTCATGGTGCTTTTGACGTATAAATGTGGGTTGAACTAGTGATGATGGATTGTGTACCTTTTTTTTTTTTCCTTTGTTGAAGATATTATGTACTCCTTGACTCCTTCAGTTGTTGGCCTGCATAAGGAAGTTGTGTTCGAACAACCATTTCTTGTGGACTAGATGGCCGAAGAATTATTTGCAAGTATTTTAGGTGTCTAAGTGGATATGCCACTTTGTACAGTAATTTGTATCTCTAAACATGTAGGGCCTATTTGGTTCGAAGAAAGGGGAGGAGAGGGGAGGGAAGCTCCCCCCAATTTGGAGGGGAGGTTTTGGAGGGGAGGGGAGGAAAAATTTTAAAAATTTTCCTTTCCCTCCTCCTAATCAAAGGAGGGAAGGAGCCCCTCCTCCTTCCCTCCCTCCCAACCAAATAGGGCCGTAATGAAATCCTTTGAGTCTAAACTTATTTTATCTCAGTGACCACTTAGCTTGTTTCATTCTCATAACTGCGGAGCGTGTTCATACTAGTTCACAATTAGCCTACTCATTTTCTAGAGATGTCATGTATTGACCTGAGAAATTTAACCCACGCGCTTACACAATCAAATCAAATATATATATATATATAGATCCCACTTGTAGCAAGTCAAATTTAAACAGTTTCCAGCTCACGAGCATGTTTATTCTGTTTCTATGATACATTGTTATCGAGTATGGGCCTTGTAACAGATTTCATCAGTTCTTTGCAGAGAGTGAAGCTTTTTCTCTGAGAAGGTTGCAGAAGGTGGCCGACCTCTTTGACCTTCTCTCTCTCTCTCTCTCTCTCTCTCTCGCTCTGCGCAAAAGCAAACGGAAGAACAATGGTAATTAATTTGACCGGTT